TTTTTTCTTTTTTTTTTTTTTTTTGAAAAAACGAAAAAAAAATTTTTATAGCCCCTTTTTTTTTTTTTTTTTTTAATAAGCCCCCGCGGGGCGGAACGCTCTTCACAACAAACCCCCGATTTTCCCCCCCCCCCCAACCCCCCAACCCCCCCCCCCCCCCCCCCCCCCCCCCCCCCCCCAAAAAAAAAGGAAGAAAGAAAAAAAAAGAGAGAGAAAGGAAGGAAGGAAAGGAAATTCAAGGACAGATATCTCGGCGTTGAAATCTATTATTGGATTTCATGTGTTTTATTGCGAATCGAAAATCAGGATTTCGAAATCTAAATCCAGATTTCCCAATGGAAAGCATCCTTAAAGTTATGTTATAGTCAGTGGTGTACTACTACTATACGCCGAATGGAATTTCAATCAAAGTTCTGTCCATAGGTGATAATAACTCAGACGAGGATAAAAAAAAAAAAAATTGGCAAGTTCTTAAACCCAACATATTTCAGTAAAACAAAGGTAGATCGCAGTGAGTCGTCGAGTGCTTTTCACTGCACTAAAATGTACCCCATGGCTCTTATCTGTTTGTTGCCGTTGTCTCCTCCATGTTTAGCCTCATTTCCACACGTGTTCGTGGTCTCGGGATATCCTCCAGTACCGAACCCGATTCTAGAGTCTGGTGAACCACAGTTTCTTTGTTCATTACCGATGATACCAATTCTCGCTTTGGAATTTCCAAAATTATTACCCTCTACGTTGAACCCCTCCTTGTTACAATGGCGCTGTAAGGAGCCCTGAGAACCAATCAGTGACTTCCACGTGTCACGACCCAATGAGGTAGCGCGGTATGCTCCGTCGGCAATTAGGGAGTGCAATGAATTCGCCTGCTGGTTGATGACAATAAACTTGATCTGCTGGCCGATCTTCACACCAAGGCAGATCTTGGAGAAGGATGTGTTCCAGTAGGAGGGAAGTTTGGTTTCTTGTGAGTCAAATCCAGTCTTCCCACCGTCGAGATTAAAGTTTTTATTGTTACTCCAGAGGTGGGAATTGAAGTGAAAGGTTTGCTTCAAAGTAGAAAAATGGAGATCAACAGATTAACTATAATGTTGAGTTTTTGTGCAAATAAAGCTTCATGTACTTCAATACTTTTTTCTAATATCAATTTGCACCTTTCTTTGAGTTGTTCTCTCATCAACAATCAGTATACCTCGCAATCTTTTTCACTGACTATACTTTGAATGTTCAATCCCCATAGCATTTATAACAAGAATGTTGTCCGGAGTAGTTATAAACCAATTGGAATTCAGCGACGTTAAAATGAAGGAGATGGAGCCCACGGCGTTTGAAGCATATCCGGGTTTCAGCATAATAAAGGATTAGGTTTTGAGTAACATGAATAAACCAATTTAATTTGACGTTTTCATTGCCATCGAAGTTTATTATGCTTTATATTGACCGAGTGCATTAATAACCAGCACAGTGATCCGAACGATCCTAAAACTGACACAAAATAAATAAAATAGGCTTAACTAAATAAATATAACAAGTCAAAGTTGAAAAAAAAATACAATTTCGCAAAATGCTGGGAAACAAAATAGCACTATGCAAAAAAAAAATGTAAATACACTCTTTCATTGGTAGTACTTTTCTTACAAAAATTTTTACACCGCCGGATATATAAGATCCCATCATGCACTCTGAGAGTAAAAAGGATGAAATAGTACCTCGTTACCGTTCATCTTCATGATTGGTGTCCATCCTCCATTTCCGCATCCAAAGTCTCCCATGTGACAGAGAACGGAAGTTTGATGTGAGCCAAGCATCAGAGTGGCAAGTTGGCTTTCACTCTTCCTGATTAGCATAACAATTATCAGCCGTAAGCGTTTGAATTGCTGAGCCATCCCTGCTTGTAATTACCGCAGTTTACAGCACTAAGTTTATATCCCAGGAGAGTTGCTTAAGTATCTTTTGGACCACTACAACTTTATATCGATTGAGGATTATTTCCCTTTGGTTGATTGTTTAAAATGGGAGTGAGAGATAAGACAAAAGTTGGGTGGCGAGTATTTGTACCCTTGGGATTGAATATGGGTTGCGGGACAGGAGCCCATGGCCCTGTTGCGGAATGAATGACAATGTAGCAGTAGAATCTCCCGTAAGTGACCACCCAAAATGCGAAAATTGATTCGGAGTTATCTTACGAGAAGTGGTCGCTTCAAGACCCTCAAGAATCGAACCAGAGGGGATCTCCTCCGATTAGAGGTACCGACACAAGTTATGTACACTTTAAGAAGGGGAATTTACTGCATTCAGTTTCTAAAGCATGGTGATGTAGTTACACGGGACGATTCTCAACGACCACTTTAAGAAGGTTGTTACATTAGTGCTTTTTATACGAGGAAAAATAAGACGCGTCTTAAATAAGACGCGAACTGTACCATTTATACGAGCATGTCTTATCTAAGACAAGAACAGCTCGTATAAATGGTTCGCGTCTTATTTCTGTTCTTAACTCGATTTCATGTGAGTGTTGCCCGTAGCAACGGCAACCAACAAGGCGCAAAAATTTTCCCGCCAAAAATTAACGCATGCGTACCATGTGTTCGCGTCTTATGTAAGACGCGAAGGTCATTTATACGAAGTTTTTCTCGTCTTAGACGTCTTAGTTAAGTCGCGTCTTATTTTAGACGAAATGTGCCGTTTATGTAGAAAGTTCGCGTCTTATTTAAGACGCGCCCTATGTAAGACGCGTCTTATTTTTCCTCGTGTAAATGGCCCTATTGTTTATTAAGTCATGCCCGATCATGACATGTTTAGTTATATGTTGGGACTAAAAAAAGTTCTTCGTATCCTCTGAGTCAAACGCAGTAAATACAGTGAGCATAAAGATCAGGACATGCGTCAAGCCCGGCGTAGTCATTCGATAAAAATTGATATCGGAAAATCATTCGATAAATCGATAAAAATCGATTAATTGATTTTAAACGATATCGACTTTACCGGTCAATCGATAAAAATCGATACTTTCACGCCGACAAAGTGTTAAACTGTTCTGAACATTGAAACTTAGTTGGTTCAAACGAAGTATTTGAAAGTCGATGAAGCATAATGTTACAGTTTTGTTCATGTTCAAGTAGTATTACATGTAAAAACACATGTATGGGATGACAATAAATATTATTATCGTTGGTTTTTGCTCTCTATCACAAGCTATTGCTTTTTATGTAACATTTAGATTACGAGCCCGAGGGCGTCTAGATTATTTTTCATATCTTGACTCAAAAAATCACGAAAATCTTTCCCTTTCAAGACTGGGTGAAAGAGCAACGAGCGTGCGATTGTGTTACATGACTTACATCAGCAAATAAATAAACACTGGAATAATCAACCAGGGATCTATAGCGGATTTCAAATAGAACAAACGCTGAGTATTACTAAAAGCTTGTTGAAAAGATGAACGAACAGGGAAGTTGTTATAAGTGTCTCTGCGAGTTCTTTAATATCTTTTGGTGTTTCCGTGTCGAAAATTGGTACGATAATTCAGTTTCGATAAATTCGATAAATTATTTATCGATAAAATCGATAACCCTAAATTCAAACATCGATAATTATCGATTACTCACACCGAACTCTTTCATCGAATTTTATCGAATTTCGAAAAAATTAATCGATTTTTATCGAATGTTATCGATTATCGATATTATCGAATGACTACGCCGGGCGTCAAGTGGCCGCTTGCAAGAGAGTACTAACAATGGAAAATTTTAAAACTGTGTGCAAAAAGTGTTTGCCGTCACTTATGAGAGGTGATCGTTTACGAGAGGTTCCAGCTTTGGAGATTTGACGGGAAAAATTCTTGTGTTTTGGGTTCGTGGTCCCTTACAGTCGCACCCGAAGGTTTGACTGTACTTAAAGTCAAATTTATGATTTATAGCGATACTGTTACCGCCGGGGGGTGGGTTACGCCCAGAAAATTCGGTAGGGGGTGTAATATACCCTGACCCTAGCTTTAGACCAAGAGCTCGAGATATTAGCTGATATTATGTTCCCTCCCCTATTTCAGACCTAAATAGCTGTTCTCAAGAGACTTATAATAGACTATAAAGAATAACCAATACCAGACCCTCCACCCCATCTAAGATCCAAACCATTAAAATCCATACGCACAGACCGAAGAGGGTCAAGAAACCATGCCCTTTGGCTCCCCACCTCTGTCGGTAAATACAAGAGAGCATAAACCCCCGGAAGCCATACACGTTAAGTTGGCAATTGCATTCAAAGTATGGACATAAGGTGTGACATTGGGACTCAGTGTACTGTAAACTGGTACGGAAGCCATGCATATACTAGTTGAGATTGCACATAAAGAAACAGTGTGGGCATTGGCGGTGACATGATGGAGCATTGGTGGTGCGGATATATACTAGCAAAGAGAAATGCCCTTGACAGGCCCGTTGATTAAATTTAATTGGGCCGGGTAAATTCGTTTTTTTTTTTTGTTTGTCTTCGAAAAGGGAACTTTTCGAGCTATTTGAAAAATAACTTACATTCGATACTTAAAATTCTGGCTCGGATGATCTAGGGACCAAATTTCTTTTTTTTTTTCCCGACGACTCCATCGTCTCGTAATTCCCAGAGACTTAGCACAACAAATATAGAAAAATGACCAGAAAGCCTCGGGGTCATATTAGAATTTAAATACATTGGACGTGGGCTATTGTACTGGCGAATGGAGTCTGTACATAGTCACGAATGGTTTCTTGAATTGTAGCCGGATGGTATAGTCGTTCTATTATGGCATCAATACCACCATGAGAGCATAAGCCGAAGAGAAGGCGTGAAATATGCAATTACTCGGACTTTAATAGTAGAAAACACCTTACCTGTAAACATCAAAATAATCCTGACATGACTTTACCTCTATAGCTGGAAGAGAAACTAGATAAAATCAACTATAAGCAACAGCTCAGCCTTTAAACGTTATTCCGTTTCAATTTGATGTATTTCCTTGAATAATAGCCGGGGAAGATTATTATTTTTGTCATGCAAAAGGGGGCGATTGTTCGAGGGAAGGCGATTGTTCGATAGGCGATTATCTCTAATATTACTTACTGGAAGTCGTGCCCTAAATATTTTGTTTTATTATACCATTAAATCAAAAATGATCACATCAAATAAACTGAACATGGGCTTTTTACTGTTCCAAATTTGGTTCCTTGATTAATTCCCTTTTAATGGCAATATCCTTGGGACGGTTATTATTCGAGGAAATACGGTATACTCAAAGTTCTGCACGCCAAGAATTTATCCTCCTCTTGGCAAACCCAATCTTAAGTCATGAACATTAAAGATTGTGCTAGCATCTTCAAGGTTTTTGCGACAAAGCGTCACCTGGTAAAAAATAGCCAAGCTGGTGAGGTGGAAAAGGCAATGCAGTAGGAACTTTGAAATAAACAGAAAAGAAAAGGAATAAGAACTTAAGTGTGAGTTCTTTGTTTTTCTTGTCCGTTTGCAGTTGTTTTACTTATCAGCCTATTTATTTTGTGTCACGTGACTGTATGTTATCAAACGCCTATTACTAGGCTGGAACCAGGCTCTCCCACTACGAAGCCTGGTCCCAGGTTAGCATATTTCTGCCTCATCATTGTCACGCCAGGCCAATTCGTTCAGGGACAATTGATCCGCAACTGAACGCCGCTGATCAAAAATCGTGTGCATTAAACGTACCCTGGTCACAACGCTGTCCTTTGAATCCAGCAGTACATATACAGCGGTATCCTTTGTGTGTAAAACCGGTTTGACAGGTGGAGTTATTTTTGCAAGGTTTCTTCGCACAGGCATCCTGCAAAAGAATTTCACGTGACCTTCAAGAGTGTCAGTTAGTTTCTTCCAGCCTAGTCTCTAGTCGTTCTGTCTTGGTTCCTTGTCCGCGCGAAGTCTGGGAAAGTCTCGGCGAGTATCTCTCGGTCACGTCACAGCTCACGGTAGAGTCCAAGATTGACCGCGCCGAGAACGCCTATGGACTAGGCTGAGTTTCTTCTACTCAAAAAAGCACACGCGAGTTATTGGGGAGCTGTGCACGTCGAAGATGCGCGCGCTAGGCACCATCGGTGAAAATATGTTATTGTCCGCCGTTCCGAGAATAAGCTGATTTAGCAACAGAACGGGAACGTCATTTGAGGACGGGAAAGGGCGCGGAAAGGAGTGAACTCGACTTCCAGTGCCCAATTTGCCCCTCCTCCATTAGTCAAGCCAATTTGTTTGATTTTCCCGCGCCGACGTCAACAGACGTTCCCCTACTGCTGCTAAATCAGCCTAATATTTGTTTGTCGCATGACCAATGTTATGTGGGTGATGGGTTGTAATTGCGCTTTTGTCTGCTTCCTTTGCTTGTTCCACAAAACGGAACTGATAATATAATAAACATCTTGGTAGTGGAACCTCGTCCCCCCCGCTCGCTATCATAGCCCGCTCACCTTGACATTAAGCCATAAATTTTGGGGGAGGGGAGTGATCAGTCCGCAAGTTACAGTCGGCTAAAAAGTTTAAAAAGTGTACGTAAGTTATGAAGGGAGTGCCTTTTGACGACTTTTTTCCAGTAGCTCCAAGTAAGATTGGTGAGTTATTAAAAACTCACAGCTACTATTTGGAGCAAGCTATCTGTTTTTATTTTTACTGGTAACCGGCCTTTTTAAAACAAGAATTATTGTTTTCATTGAGGACCTTTTAATTACCGTCGGCTGTGGAACGCTTTTTTCGCGGCTTTTTGTCATCGGCTCATGAATTAACTTGCTATCAGTAAAAAGATATTTCCTTACTTTATCGCAGAGACAATTACATTTCGCCTAATAATATAGTGAAAAAGCATTTTTGAAGAAAATATTCTTTCCAGGGGCTACCCTACCAAGAAGGAACTTCAGGAAAAATTCCAAAGGCAAAGGGTATGACATGCACCCCCTGGATTGGAAATCCCAGGGGCGGGGGATCTAAAGCAAAAGTGCCCTCCGTAGGGGGGTATGGATATTCTTGGGAACTACACAATGTGCTCTCACCTTGGCACCACTGTATATGAAATCCATATTCTTCTCCAGTTTGTTCTTTTGTCTTTCAAAAGTCGAATTGTTTAACTGGCATTTCTTCGCTGATTTCATGAAGTTAAAACTGAGACAGCTTGGTTCCAGGTAGCACTGCAGTTCACAGAAATTCGTATCCATGGCATCAACAGTTTTAATCACATGACCTTTAAGGCGTTTGCCTTCAAAAGTATGGTCAGGTCTAAACTCCAGCTTGCGGCAGGTTTCTTTTCAAAATAGAAGATTGATTAGCAAAGCAAATACCGCAAACTGCTGCGTATAAGCCCCCTAATCTCATCATAGGCTCATCTTCATGTTCTAGATATCCATTCAAATCACGTGAGGTCTTAGAAGACTTCACTTTCGCTGTAGCTGGCATGGTCTACATCTGTAATCATAATTTTAGGCCTAGATTTTCGATAGTTTTTTTCTTAGTAATGCTTGATTTTCCTTTTCCCACTCTTAAAGTATTCACAATTGTAAGTAGTTTTCTATCGTGGACATATATTTAGTTTTTAATTAGTATCTTAGAATTCTGAATTGTGAGGAGGTTTTGCCGGAAATTTGTATTTATACAATATTGATGTGGACGTTTTATTTTTGTGAGTATTTTACAGAAGTTTTGTGTGTAGTTTTTATAAGATTTTTATAACCCTGCTGAGCTGAGCTTATAGGCGGCAGTTTAAGGTAGCTGATTTAAAAAATAGAATCGGCCTTGAGGATACTTGAGACTATGATCCATTTTCAGTCAGGAATATAATTAGCCCACTTTAGGTGTAACCACAAGAGATAATTTTCCCATGGTATCCATTGTGTTCTGCTAACGACAAAACTTGTTTACAAATTTAACGGCAAAATATGGTGGCATTTTTTTTATCGACATCAATGGCAGTCACTAAAATATTTGTTACTTACATCCATGAAGTTATTTTGTAACCCCAAATTTTTGCCAATTAAATCTTTGTGATAAGATTAACAAACATCAAACAATTTCAAGAGCAATTAAACTTTCCAAATCTGTTATTACCAAAAGTCCTGACAGTTATTGCAGTATTTTTAATTGGTCGTCTAACTAGCATGTTTTAATATAAAAAACATGCACTTGCCTTCATTTGAACTGCAGAATTGTCCTCGGATCGGGAAGAATTGCATCAAAATTGATAACACACAAACGATCAACATGGCGTCATCGAAAATGTTTCACTGGATTTTTTACTTGGATCTAGTTAACACCTTCTTATTCCAGTCTCCTTGAGAAGCATCTAAGGTGTTAAGACGATTTATTTGCTTATTACCTGTCCGTTCATCTGCATGCTCATTAATCATTTCATTTCAAGTCACCATCACAAGTGAGAAAGGAGAAAATTGCTATTTTAATTATCACTGACAATTGCATGGCGAATCGTACGAAGTTCGCTTCCATTAACTATTTCAATTACTCAGCACTGTCTTTTTTTTTTCCTTCAAAAAAGATGGCTCTTTACATGATGGCAGCTGAAAAAACTCTAGAGAAAATTCAAAAACAAGCTCTCCCCTTTACTGATACAGGTTGTACTTCTGGCCATAAAGAGCCTTGTTTCCCGTAGCCTCCCACGGAAGATTTTCTTAGGGATTCGTATTCGTGACGAGCCAACAGAAAGTCTGCTTGGGAGGCTATGTTTCCCGTTTCGCCTTATCTTTCGTAAAACACGGCTTTTTATAGCCTAAAGGCAGTTTCCAGCATTCTGTCGGAAGTGAAAATTTAAGTATTTTAATTGGTAAAAGTCGGGCAACTTTTGTGCCATTTCAGTGTACCTTTTATGGGATCTACTAGGTGTTAAACTACGAGCAAACGGACGCAGCACCTCCCAACATTGTTGCGCCAACAATCATCATGGTTAAGTATTGTTGCGTCCGCGTGTATTGCAGTGGTGTGCAAACGGATGAATTCCCAACAACACGCAACAATGTGCAATAGCAGGGTGTACAAAAGGATGCAACGTGTCACCCAACAATATGTTGGGAGTTGTTGGCCATTAATGTTGCGTCCGTTTCAAACGTTATCTTAGCGGCTTCAACTTTGGGGTTCGAAATCAGAATACCTCTTCTATAAATCATGCAATAACCCTGCGGGACTTAATGGCTCCGTCAAACTTCAATGTAAAAACCTTGGTATTTCTGTCAGCTACATTCACCACCTTTTTAAAAATTATTTGTAACTATTGATTTTTCGAGTAGATTGTAGTATTTATGTATATAGAAGTATGTTCCATCGTAAAGTATCAGTTTCAAAATTTACCATGATATGATTTATATTTTTTAGCAGATGATAATCAAGTAATTTCTTCCAATTTCATGTCGAAAACAATTTTGAAGTTCGAGTGACGTCTTAGATTAAAAAATTGGAATCCACACAGTGGAGGGGCCTCGGGCCCCCGCCCCCCCCGCCCTTATTTTTGGACCAAACTGAGGCCCGAAGGGCCGAAAAATTTTTTTTTTAAGACCGGGCCTCCCCTTATCTCAGGGTCTGAATGACCGCCCCCCCCCCCCTCATCCTGAAGGTCTGGATCCGCCACTGCCACAGAAGTCTAAGGCTTCACTTGAACGTCAACGTTATTCAAAATGCAACTATAGGACAAGCCTGAATTTCCGATGATTACTTCGAGTCGTCTTCTCTAAGCAACGTCTGAATAAACCGGCCGTTAATGCCGTCCAGTGAGGGCACTACCCAAAAACCCGGTGGTGATTTTGATTGGTTGATTGTCCAAAATTTTACATATTTATTTATAATTATGACGGAGAAATTTTAGCGGGACTGTCGTTTGATAATCAGCTGCTCGCATGCCTGGCATCAGTCATTGCGTTCAAAAAATTTCGGGGTTAGGGCTAAGGTTAAGTTAGGGTTAAGGTTAGGGTTAGCGTCAACCTTAACCCTAACCAAACCCTAGGCCTAACCCTTAAACAGCATTCTTTAGAAAATGATAGATACCGTCTCTAGACTGCAAAACAGTCCGTATTTTTGCGTATTGAAGTACGCGCGAGCAGTCAAACAAAAGGTCTGGAAGGAGGCTAAAAACAGGGAGCCGCCGGGGAGAGACGCTCTCGCCGCTCTATACCGTCTCCGGACCCGGCCCCGACCCCGACCCCGCGTTTTACTGACACCCACATGAAGGAGTAAAAATTACTCGAAGTAATTATCTGAAATTCAGGCTACTGAAGGACATTATACGAAGACAGCCACGACCTTTTTTATAAAAAAATTCCGATCCTCTGTAGCGAGGATATGGTTGTTTACCGTTTGCAAAACGTTTCGGGAAAATCCGGTTGGAAAGTAAATGGAACACGACTGATTTTGGTTCCCCAGAAAAATTCCGGGATCAACGAAACATCTGAAAAGGTAGTCCGGCTTTTCCAGGTGGAATTCGGTTCGGGTCAATGGTACGAAAAATTCAGGACTGGTAAGTTTCGTCCCGGAATTATTACCATTTGTACAAATTTGAGATTAATCAGATCAATGACTGCGATGTTTTTTGCAGATTCAAACCGATTTCGAACCAAACGCCTGGGGGCGTCCAATTCCAATGGCTCAGTCAATCCCAAGCGTGCCCTTCGCCAACCCCAACCCCTCCCCCTCCCCCGGTATTTGCAGCTTTCAGTTTTCCAAAACAAAACGACAAATCTTGATCAACAGCGATTTCTTAAAACATAAGCAAGCGAATATTAATGTTAAAAGCCGACGGTTTTTTTGGAGTTGACTGAGCCATTAGATTTGAACACTATTATACGGTATTCCCTTATTGACCTCCAGGCCCCGGTTCGTGGAAAGCTGATTATCGCTAATCCAGGATCGTGAAATATCGATCGCTTGGAATTGCCTGAGCCCCCAGGCGCTCATCCTCGGAGACCCAGGGGCAGTTGGCGCTTGGTTCAAACTTGGCCTGATGGACCCGAAATCTACTTGGATCTGCAGTCTATGATGACCGCTCATTATTTTTGTCAAAAAGGGTTTGGCCCTAAAGCCTTAAGTCCCATCATGGGCTCCTGCTTAAGTTTAAATTTATTCTACTGCAAATAAAAATCGAGAAAATGCCTTAATTTTCTTTGCTTCCCTCTGTTTACAAAGTAATTTTTCGCGGGAACACGCGGCCATGACGACGGGACATTTGATTGACCAATCAGAATGTAGAGCCAGTCATCCAGTGAGACGACTTCGCTGCTCCCACGCTTTGGCGTTGTTGTCAAAATGGTGTTCAGCTCTGCCTATAGGCGAGCTTACAAAGAGCCTTCATGGGACGATTACAGTAAGAAAGAATTTATTAGTAAGCTTCAGTATCGATCAGATCGTAGATCGGTGGAGCATCGGCATCAACCCTGGAGCTGGGAGAGTGATAGCGAAGACGAAGATATTGAAGAAATTCCAGCAGACGATGGAAGTTACGACGGAGGACGTCGCGGTCGCGAAAAGCCTCCCCGTCATGAGAGAATAATCGACCGTCAGGAACCAAAACAAGATTGGAAAGAGGAACGCAAGGACATTAAAAAGCATGATAATGCCGCTGATAAGGCTTTAGTAGTTCCTGAGAGGCTAAGATACGAAGAAGACGAAGAGGAAAAACCAAAACATTCACAAGTCACCACAGACGCGTGGAGACCAAAGGAACGTGATCGCAGAAAGAAAGATGCTCGTAAACAACCTAGGAAACACCGTTCGCGGTCGACTTCGCCCGAAAAAAATCGCCACTCCAAAAAGGAAAAGAACAGAGCTCCTTTCCTACCGTATGGAATGGCTAACGAAGGACCTGTGGATATGTGGAAAACGCACAACGTATTGGCTTCACAGCGAGAAGTAAGCTAAATAACATAAACAGAGCAGATAAAATTAAATTAATTATTTAAATGTTTTTCTTTTTTATAACATTTAATCTTCACGGCAATTTGACTGGTACTTAGGAGCTGAAATTGACTGATGCATTAGGGTGAAATTCTGACAAGTGCCATGGCCTAATGAGACAGCAACACAGGACAGCATAAATGGCGGCAAATGACACAAAGATAGGTTTGAACTGTGACAGTGACAGAGAAAAGTGCAAATACAATAATAAAATGCTGACAGTGATGTGACTTCCTCCTCAATACGTGAAACGGCAGGATTTGAAGTTCAGACTAGGGACATACGTAACTCCCCTAGGAGAGGGCCTCTCCAATGTCTCTTGGGTGCTACAATCATCCCAAGAGACATTGAAGACGACATTTCTGCACAATTTGGGGTGTAAAATAATTTCGCCTCAAGCTCCCCTTCCCCGGTTGAGGACCAAGTACCTTTTCTTCTTACCCCTGAAGATAAAATTGCATTCACCCCTGAAGACTTCCATAAAACATTGGTTTACCCCTGGAGAATATGGGTTCTACCCCTGAAAAATTTCATGAAAATCAAAGAATTCCATGTATATTTTTTTTACTCTACCCCTAAAGAAATCCTCAATTTTGATAACTTACCCTTAACCGGTGGTGGGGAGGGGGGTAAGGGTATTAAATACAGTAGCCCTTTGGTTGCTGACAGAATTACACAGTGCTCGACTTTCAGAAAAAAATCTTGGGGCCAGCCGGCCCCCAAGTTTTCGTTTTTGGTCGCCAGAACAAGTATTCTAGTCGCCAAAAATTATATTTAAGAATTAATGGAATACAATAAACTTAGCATCTTTTACTTAGCCTTAACAGAAAAAGAATGCTTTAGAATTCCTTTTGAACTTTCTTTATATTGTAGATTGATCTATATGTTATCCATTCTATGTGTTAGACTTACGATAAAAGTAAAGGTGGGGATACCAGAGAGCTTCAAAGTAGGATGGTACCCCCACAAAAAAAACTGGGTCGAGTCACCTTAAGTTTAAATTTATTCTACTGCAAATAAAAATCGAGAAAATGCCTTAATTTTCTTTGTTTCCCTTTGTTTACAAAGTAATTTTTCGCGGGAACACGCGGCCATGACGACGGGACATCTGATTGACCAATCAGAATGTAGAGCCAGTCATCCAGTGAGACGACTTCGCTGCTCCCGCGCTTTGGCGTTGTTGTCAAAATGGTGTTCAGTTCTGCGTATAGGCGAGCTTACAAAGAGCCTTCATGGGACGATCACAGTAAGAAAGAATTTATTAGTAAGCTTCAGTATCGATCAGATCGTAGATCGGTGGAGCATCGGCATCAACCCTGGAGCTGGGAGAGTGATAGCGAAGACCAAGATATTGAAGAAATTCCAGCAGACGATGGAAGTTACGACGGAGGACTTCGCGGTCACGAAAAGCCTCCCCGTCATGAGAGAATAATCGACCGTCAGGAACCAAAACAAGCTTGGGAAGAGGATCGCAAGGACATTAAAAAGCATGATAATGCCGCTGATAAGGCTTTAGTACTTCCTGAGAGACTAAGATACGAAGAAGACGAAGAGGAAAAACCAAAACATTCACAAGTCACTACAGACGCGTGGAGACCAAAGGAACGTGATCGCAGAAAGAAAGATGCTCGTAAACAACCTAGGAAACACCGTCCGCGGTCGACTTCGCCCGAAAAAAATCGCCACTCCAAAAAGGAAAAGAACAGAGCTCCTTTCCTTCCGTATGGAATGGCTAACGAAGGACCTGTGGATATGTGGAAAACGCACAACGTATTGGCTTCACAGCGAGAAGTAAGCTACATAACATAAACAGAGCAGATAAAATTAAATTAATTATTTAAATGTTTATGTTTTTTGTAACATTTAATCTTCACGGCAATTTGACTGGTACTTAGCAGCTGGAATTGACTGATGCATTAGGGTGAAATTCTGACAAGCGCCATGGCCTTGAGACAGCAACACAGGACAGCATAAATGGCGGCAAATGACACAAAGATAGGTTTTAACTGTGACAGTGACAATGTCAATGTCTCCTTGGTGCTACAATCATCCCAAGAGACATTGAAGACGACATTTCTGCAAAATTTTGGGGTGTAAAATAATTTCGCCTCAAGCTCCCCTTCCCTGGTTGAGGACCAAGTACCTTTTCTTCTTACCCCTGAAGATAAAATTGCATTCACCCCTGAAGACTTCCATAAAACATTGGTTTACCCCTGGAGAATATGGGTTAATTCTACCCTTGAAGAATTTCATGAAAATGAAAGCTCCACCCCCAAAGAATTCTTTAGATATATTTTTTACTCTACCCCTAAAGAAATCCTCAATTTTTATAACGTACCCTTAACCGGTGGTGGGGAGGGGGGTAAGGGTATTAAATGCAGTAGCCCATTGGTTGCTGACAGAATTACATGTAATGTGACAAGTGTGATCACCCTTACCAATTATTGTACTGCAAATGTTTCGTCTCTTTCATATTTGCCAAGAGTAAAATTTTAGACAATTCAGTCCCCCATTCTCCTCTGTGATTATCAAACATTGCCTTGAGTTCAAGAAGCTGCCATCTTGGTTTCATAGGTTAGCAAAATCTTGGGTAATAGCACTTTGCAATCTCCCCACCTTTTGATTAACATGGCAGACTCTCCCACACATGGGTTGATCTTGACATTTGCTGGGAAAAAGAGAAGACGTTTAAGCAGACTAGGATTTTTACATCTTTTATTTACAACCTATTTTGATGATAATCTGTTTTACAGGTCTATCCAGCTGCCCTTCGAGCTCAGAAAAGAAGACAAGAAGAAGTAAAAAGAAAGGTACAACTCCGACAGGAAGCAGTGAAAAGAAAAGAAAAGCCAGCACATTTTGATGCTGATGTTGCATTTCCTAAAACTTGGTGGATGACTGAGTATCAAAGAAACTTTTGTAAAGAAGAGGACATCAAAAGACATTTCCTGCGATGACAAGAGTGTTGTGCTCTCGAAAGTACAGCCTTGCCTTGAGTTTAGTTTTAAAGATAGTAGTCAGAAAAACAATATTTTTATAATAGTTAAGTGTGTTGTATGAAGTGCATGTCTGTTTTAATAAATGTTTGTATTGGTTTTATCACTGGACTAGTGTGAGTTAATTACTCTGCCTGAGTTCAAAAATTGTTGTAGTATTAGCCTCTGATTTTACTCCTGTGTTCAGTAATTAATTTTATTAAGATTTTCTCAAACCTGGAAAAAAGTGGGGATTTTTCTTGGAGGCCACATTCGTTGTATGTGAACCACTGATGCCAACAAAAGACAACATTTACGAGAATTTGGAAGATTGTAGCAGATCCTCTCAAAGCTCTGCCTTCAATGGGAGAACTAGAAGGTTGACAATACCGCTTGTTTGAGTATAAAATGTTCATTAACTATCCAATTCTTTGCAAACGAAACAGGAAGTTTTTAAAGTTTATTCTGCTACCAATTACAACTCTGTACATTAACAAATTACTTTAGGATGCTTCTTTTAATAACCAGTACAAAGTTAATTACAACTAATCAAAGCCATCAACTACAAAAAGATGTACTGTAGTATGCAGATCAGTATTACTGTAAAATAACATTACGCTCCAGTTGCTCACAAGGTGGATACTGCCGTTGGCAACAAAAATCATTACTGTCCCCAATGATATTTCTCACACTCTCTGCCTACTTGTAACAGTAAAAAGCAAGCTTTTCCTCCCCTATTCTCTGCAAATGATGTTGTGCTACTGTCAAAACGAAAGCAACTGTGGTTTTGGGCAGAGGAGGAAGTGTCCAGATTGTTTTGTTTCCAAAATGGAAGTCATTTACAGGCTTGTAATGTGAATGATTCACTACAGTGTCTCAACGATTTTGGCACTATTGTAGGTGTACATTGGGTTAATCTATAATTTGTTAAAGAAAGATGTCCAATTCAAGATTCGGTTATAAAACCATGACAGGAAAAGCCACATGTGCCATTATTTTTATTGAAAGCAAACGGTTTATACAACCATGTTTTTTCCTCCATTGTGGATAAAACTCTGGCTAGCTATGTTTTACTCTTCACTAGCCTGAGTATCAGGCGTTTCTGGGGAAAAGGAGATGGAAGTGAAAAAGGGAGAGAGCTGAGCAAGAGAAACCTTCCTTTCTCTTCTCCCCCTTCCCTCTCCCCCATCTAAAATCTCCTCTCCCCCAGCACCTTAGGAAGGCCTGATACTCAGGCTAACTCTTAACCAACACCAAAGACTGAAGGCCAGACTGTATTTGCCTAATAGCCTCTTTCAGCCCCATCCGTCATGCAATCCAAAACAGAAGCACGTGACAAACCCCTAAGAACATCTGTGTGGGAGGCTATACTTACCTGAGCAGACTAACAGCAGACTATTGTTTCTGTCAGAGAAAGTAATACATCACATACAATATTATGACCCCCCACCCTTCTGCAGGGTTTAAACTTTTTTCAATTGTGATATCAAGAATACAAATCCAGAAAAACTGAACTGTACTGCAACATGACCCCTAATTTAGATACCAATAAAATTCTGGAATTTTCAGCCAAAAGCTACTCCTTAATACTTTGCTGAACCCTTTTAAGTCCCAAGAGTGACCAACAAAAATTTTCTCCTAATGATATCCGTACATTCTCAAGAGATAAAGTTATGAGAACTAATAAAATGATTCCCAACGAAAAAATACCACGATCTTTTATCAAATTCCCTCAACTTATTCTTAAAGGAAATGTATGGAGATCAGTTTGGAGACTTTGCATGTGGATATTGGGGCTTAAAGGGTTAAATGAGCATAGAGTAAGAGAGGTTGTTGAGACCAAATGTGTGATAGGCCAGCCTAAGGATCTTAGAGTTTAAAGGGACTGTGTCACGGCTGTCTAGCTAATTTTGTTTATAATGTCAGTTATAAAGGATTTTACATGGCCATGAGGGGATACGAAGAAGAGAAATTTTTTATCTCCAAGCGGCTATGTAATGTTCTAATATTATTATATAAAAACCAATGAATGCCAAACCATCTCACTTAAATAGTTTTTTGCTGCGAAAGGTGCGATTTATTATGTAGCCATAGCAATGGTGATCTTTCCCTGTTTTCGTGCAAAAGTTCACCTGGTATGTCATTGGTGTTTGTATAGTAAGTGTCCTTATTCTACCTTAAATTATGACAATGAGGTCTCACTCATTTTATAGTGTGAGTTAAAAAAGGTCTTACTTTTAAAGCTTTGCATCAATTATTTACAAAGTTCATGACCATAACTTGCAACCTTGTACCCCAACAATGCAATAAATGGCATCAAAGAATTGTACATTAAGGAAGGGTTTGATTGATCATATTCCAGAATAAGAATTGTGCGAAAGTTTTCAATTTAAACTCTACATACATCTAGAAATTTGCTTGAAAAAAAATTACGATGATATTGCAATAAAACGAATGCCAACAGTTGATGCCATTAATTCTTATTCCAGAATATGGACAATCAAACATGCCCTAATTCTATTCTCTGCATTTCACTTTGAGCAATGACACTTAAAAGATATGATTCTAACATGTATTGCAGTTAATGACCTGTTCAATTTCCTTGTAGTGGTAGGTATCTACAAGAGTTGCAGTAACTGTTATTTATTTGCTCATTAAGCCATGCAAGAAACAAACATTGCCAATACGCAAAATTGTTTCCTGAAGGCACTGAAAAGCTAATGAACAACAGTTCAAAAACACTATTGTCTCTTAAATGTTTAATTTACTATTGGTATCTAGGAAACAGGTGTCTGCCCTTTTCCCAGATAGGGAGAAGGACCTGGTTTACGATGAAACAAGTGTCCCCATTTTAGCCATAAATTATAGAAGAAGCAATTTTTTTCCAAAAATCTATTCCAGATTAGCCACCTTGAGAAAACTCACTGGAAATCGACTGACTTTTCGTTTTATACTGAACTTCAATTTGATGAGAATCTCTTGTGGACTCGTGGTTAAGTTGTGCTTTTAGTTAATAAAATGGCAACTATCTTACCAAAAGCAAGACTTTTTGGTCATTTTACCAGCGAAGTATCTACTCTCTAACTATTAGTGAAGAATTCAAACTTTGAAATGCAGTATATGTTTCAACGCATCTCTAACAATAAGTACATTATAACATGACAATCTCAGTATCACTACCATGCAGTTACAACATTAAAATAATGCTTTACTGTTCATAAGAGATAGGTACCACTGACTTGAGTTACTACTAAATAAACGAATAACACTGGTAGAAGATGATCAGCAAGCACATTTTTGCCTTTCTTCCTGTTTCCCTGGGCGTATTGACCTTCGAAGAGATGGATCTCCATATTGTATTCCTGAGCCCATTCTGTCCGGGTCCAGTTCACCTGTGAAGAGAAAAATAAAAATATGTGAACTGGTAAAGGAATAAGGCTTTAAGTTAGTGACTGACTTGGTCACACACAAATCTCAATATTTTGCTTTGTAATTTCTTTGATTCAGAAATAAGAGCAAAACAATTTGCAAAGGGGATCTGACTGGCCATGGTATAATACAAGAAGCCAGCTGGGGCTTGTTTTCGAGGCATCTATTCAATATTTTAAGGCAAAAAATATGTGCCAGAGGAGCACTCTTGTGGAGGGGGGGGGGGGAAGGGGGGTAGTGGCCAGAGGAACACTCTCATGGAGGGGGGGGGGGGGGGGGTGGGGCGGGGGATATGGCCTTGCCCTTACTGGGAAATTTAGGGGGTAAGTTTCCCAAACCATCGTTACTCGGTTTTACACCCGC